AAAATGTCACAAACCTGAACTGAAGAATTAAATTTCAACGAAATTCGATCCTAAAAGAATATCTTCTATAAACAAACTAATATACCCGAAAACTTCGTCAATATTAAAACAACTAAGTACACATTTATTTTGTTATTCGAGTGATAGGAGCAATATGCGACTTTTCTAAACGTAAACCTCACCTCAACGTTGCCCAACCTGCTGATCGATAGACGAAGTTCTCGTTCACCTATCAGGCAGATAGGTCCAGTCTGGGGAGCATAGATATTATGCGCACAGGTTTGTTAAAAGAGTTATGACGTTGTTACGGCTATTGCTATTGCTATCGGTACTGAATGAGTACTGAGCTGAACAGACAGTCGCGGGCTGCGGGTCATGGTCGGCGAAAGCTCTTTATTTTGTGGCGAGTCATCGTTAAATCTTCAGCGTACGACTACGTAACGCTGACGCATACAAGCGCATTCTTGGAAAACCCTTTATTCAATTGTACATTTAAGGCGACACATCGAAAACCGTTGAAGCGGGCTATCGCCGGACTAACCAGAGTAAAACATAATTTCTATAAAAACTTCAAAAACACCGTAATAAGGTCTAAAATTGCGTAGCGCCCGCGACTATTAAAACCGCTTAGAAATCGCGTAGGATCTTAAAATATTTTTAAAAAATTATTGATTTTAGCAATCAAAATAATGAGCAAGTAAATTACGAATATTGATGTTATGAATGTATTCGAGTGGTGTCCAAGCATATAGATTAAGTAATTTCGTTGTAATTTCAACTATAGTGAGTTTTTAGAGGTGTTTTCGCAAATAATTATGATCGAGTCAAAATTTTACAATCGTGTTTTTGAGCAAGCAAACTCAAGATAAAGACATGAATTTACCTATATCAAAATTTCAGTTTCGTTAGTCGTGTCATACTCCTATACTATTCGATGAAAGGAGGTGCATTTTTTCGCGGTGTCGCCTTAAAAGGCTGTGATGTCGGTGATGATGATAATGGTGGTGGTGGTGGTAGTAGTGGTGGTGATGGTAATGATTAATTTTTTGTTTTTAATGTACGATAATTGTGTAAGAGCTAATTTTACTTATATTTACTTTATTGCCCCTACCACAGATTCTCACCTTTGTTCTCCATCTCACCAATGTTGACTGGTAGAGAATTCTTATATGCATTACGAGGGGTGATCCAAAAGTAATGATAATGATTATTAAACATGGTGACTATAGTGAAAAAAAAATATTTTTCTACATAGTCTCCTACCAAGTCCATGCATTTAGTTCATCTCTTTTTTAAACCCAGTATTCCCTTAGAAAAAAATCTTTATATTGACCCTTCAGAAAAGCCTCAACAGCGTGCATCACTTCGCTATCGTCTGATATAGATAGAAATAAGATAGAAGTCACGGAGAGCTGGATCTGGCGAAAAGGGCGGGTGTTCGAGCAGTTCAAATCCCGTTTCTTGACTGGCAGCAATCGCAACTGCGACTTTGTGAACCAAAGCATCTTGGTGAAACAGCACTCCAGCTCGCAGTTTACCACGTTTTTTTCCTTAATAGCCTCCCGCAATCTTCTTATTTGGCGTGCATAGTAAGAGCCCGAAAAAGTGGCTCCCTTTTGCAAATATTCCACCATAATTATTATCATAAAAAAGGGACGCCCATAATCTTTCCTGCCAAACTTGACATTTTGAATTTCTTCGGCATCGGTGAGGAGACTCGTTTCCAAACCATTGATTGTTGTTTGGTTTTAGGATCAAAATAGTCACGAAACGTGACAAAAAATTTTCAGATCTGCTTGGAAACTTTCGATATTCACCCGCGAAATGTAGAATCATTTTTTCTTTTACTCGTCGGTTAACATTCACGGTAGGTACTCAACGCGCAGACCTTTATCATATGCAATTCGTTCGCATGGATTCTTTAAACACTGCCATATGAGGTCCCTGTGACCTCAGCTATATGCCTGATGGTCACTCTTCGATCTGCTAATAAACTACCTTGAGGCAGGTGGGCGTCCTTCTCGATGTTTATCTTCCGTGGATTTTCTGCTCTGCCCAGCTTCAACTCCTTGGCCCAGCGTGCAACTGTGGAATATGCAGGAGAGTGTATGTCTTTGATAGACATTTTTTTAAACGGAGGTACTTGAAAACTAATTTAGTTTTTCTCCATATTATCTCTCTTTATTTTCTTATCTCTATTATCTTCTCCCTCTCGGGAATCGTAGCCGATTGGCTACGATTCTAGACCGTTGGCTACGATTCCCGGGATAGGAAGGAGAATTATATAATATATCATTTTTATATTGATCTATTGGATATATAAGCAAGCAAAAATTTTTTTTTATTTGCCAATTATTATTACTTTTGGATCACCTCGTATGTCCGATCCCTGTAATCTTTCTGGCGCAATAAAATTTCTTTCGTTCCATTTCAGTGTTTCCAATAATGTATGAATAAATAAATATAAGTATAAAATAATTTTAAAAATCAGTTCACGTTATCTAGGTGCTTTGTTCCTGGACAGAATACATTTCATGTTAACGATTATGTGATGGATTTACGAGCAGTACGAATTCAACATGTATGCCACGGTATTATTACAAACGAAACTGAGTCATTACTTTTGTGCGTTTATTAAAGTAAACAAAATAATGTAGGTAGTTCGCATATAAAATATACATTTGCATAATTTTCCGTGACCGATACGTGTTGGTCATCCCTTTCATTTTTAACCCCCGACGAAAACGGAGGGGGGGGTGGGGGGGGGGTTAAGTTTGTAGTGTATTTCTGTGTCATCTTAGATCCTGAACGGATGAACCGATTTTGATTAAGTTTTTTTTTTGGTTAAAGGTGACTTAATCGAAAGTGTTCTGAGGTACCAAGTTTGTAACTTTTTACCTATGTTTTATACTCGTAAATAAATTATTTTGAATTTGAATATGTTTCTAGAAAATCTGTTCAGCCGTTTGAAGATCATCAATTTCCTTTGTTTAGGGTTTTTTTTTAAAACTAACAGATATTATATTATATGACGGCTTGGTAGTGTTGCGGCTAAGCTTTTTAGTGTTAAGGTGACACATCGAAAACCGTTGAAGCGGGCTATCGCCGGACTAACCAGAGTAAAACATAATTTCTATAAAAACTTCAAAAACGCCGTCATAAGGTCTAAAATTGCGTAGCGCCCGCGACGATTAAAACCGCTTAGAAATCGCGTAGAATCTTAAAATATTTTAAAAAAATTATTGATTTTAGTAATCAAAATAATGAGCAAGTAAATTACGAATATTGATGTTATGAATGTATTCGAGTGGTTTCCAAGCATATAGATTAAGTAATTTCGTTGTAATTTCAACTATAGTGATTTTTTAGAGGTGTTTTCGCAAATTATTATGATCGAGTCAAAATTTTACAATCGTGTTTTTGAGCAAGCAAACTCAAGATAAAGACATGAATTTACCTATATCAAAATTCCAGTTTCGTTAGTCGTGTTATACTCCTATACTATTCGATGAAAGGAGGTGCATTTTTTCGCGGTGTCGCCTTAAGGCCGCGAGTTCGATTCCAACACGGAATAAGTGAATGCCCTATAAATAATTGTTCTGGGTTTGCATGTTTACTAGTATTCAATTTACCTTCATAAATCGCCACTATCATAGAGGAGAAGTTCCCACTTTGAAATTTTTAGAAATAAAGCATTTTAATAAGTAATTAATAATGATATAAGCAAATAGGTAGTTGAAGTGACTACTGAACTTACAGTTCACTTGATATCTCTGAGGAATAATTTAAAATTAAAAATTTTGTACAACCGACGTCAATATAAAATATTAAGAATAACTCAAAAACTATTGCTTATACCTTGATCAAATTTATATGGGACCACATGTTAAGCACCAGCTTTCAAATAAAAAAAAAGAATCATCGAAATCGGTTCACCCAGTAAGAAGTTATGATAACACACATAAAAGAAATAAATACGGTCGAATTGAGTACCGTCTCCTTTTTGTAGTCGGTAGAAAAGATGGAATGTCTCACAGTCTATTATATTGGCACTCTATACCCTTTAGACCGGAACGCAGCAGCACAACCACTGCTATTTGACGGCAAAGATAGGTAAGAGAGTGATACCTCCCCAGACAGACTCTTAGTCAGAACAGTAATCCAACCATTCACTTTCCACATTATTATTTAAAAAACAAATCCCATAATAAGATCCACACCGACTTCGCACGGGTGATTTCTAGATCTTCACAGCAGCGCCACCTACCGGGTCCAATTGTGAATCTAAACTATCCGGCGACCCACTCCACTTAGAAAAATTTTATCGAAATCGTTCGAGCCGTTTTCGAGTTTTGGCGAGACTTTTTACCCGACTGCCAAGGAAGGGTTGATTTTTTTTGTAAGATAGGGTGACAAACGAGCACACAGTCCACTTGATGGTAAGTGGTTGCTGTGAACCATAGACATCTACATTTATCCTCAATAAAGGATCAAAATGTAGATGCGTCGTCACCCGTGAGGACTAAGATGGAATGCCTCTTTTCCACTAAAATGGGTCTCCGGAAGAAACATACATACAGTGTAGAGACACTGTATGTATGTTTCTATATGTAAAGATTTTACTATAATTATGCTCTCTCCTTGTCCGAGACGGCTTTATGGCTTGTAGTACGACGCATTTATGTCAATGCCATCGCAATGTATAAAAAAATTGGGAACAGCACTATCCGAACTACGTATGCACAACACTATTTAAACCCATCTGTTAAACTTTAGTACTTCTTAATTAGTTTTATCCTGTTTAGCAGCATTAATAACTACCTATATTAATTACCTTTTGTTTTAAAAGGATAATGACCTCGAGTTCTTCGTTTTGATGAGTGTTGACAAAAGTATAAGTGTCATCTTTACATTGAAAACATTCGAGGAAGGAATGTTTTAACTGTTTAAAAGGATAAGGAAAATTCCATTCTTACTCATATAACTTTTGTTCATAGGTCATGGCTTTTATCCAATTCCTCGTTATGGCTGCATCCGCATGTATCGTGTTAGGTCAGCGACCTTTCTTCGCCGGTTCTCGACCAATTGGATACCCAGAATTAGAAAACAAAACCACCACACCTGTTGACGAACTTGGAAATCGGTAAGGTTTATTATTATTATTACACATCTAAACTTAACAGATTAAACATTAGCATAAAAACCTGAAACTATTGAAGTATTCGAACTTAAATAATCGAGTAGGTATAACACTTACACCAGTTCCACTAGCGTTACAATTTATTTTGTTCGTGAATAGGCAACGTTTGTCGTTTACCCAAGATCCATACTTGTGAGCTTGAAAGCATTGATAAGTAGGTACGTTGGCCTTAAAAATACCGGTTCATAATCTTCTTAAACTGTCCTAAATTGAAGTACCTAATCTGTAGTTCTAATTATTCACTCTTTGCAACGTCATATAGTTTATATGACGCCAAACATGGGCGCCGGCAGCAGGGTGCAAGGGGGTGCACTTGTACCCTCCTGTTAGGAAAGAAAATACATAGAAACACTGAAGGTGTCAAGGTTGCTGTCCAAATTTGTCAATCCTTGTCAATAAATTCAGTATCCTCTTCTACTCTTTCAATGTGAACACAGCATGTCACGCGGCAGCGGGGATTTGCCGAGCAATAATGCCAACCAATCGACTACAGAGATTAAGTATCTTTTCCACAGACTAATATGATGCTTAGGCAAACTTGTTTTCGACGAGCGAAATATATTTAATCAGATACCCGCGCGACTTGTATTTGACATTACATACATGTATAATTCTATATTTTATATTAGTAAATAGTATAATGTGTAAGATCCATATGCACCTCCCTGAAAGTAATCCTGGCGTCGCCCATGACGCCAAACGTATTGAACTCGTCCGAAGCACGCTAACAGTCCTGTACGAATTTAATTTGTATTTGGACAAACTGGCAGCAGGCTAACAGACACCGCCGAAAAGAATGCAGTAGGACTTTCGTCTCTTAATTTACTTGTAGTAATTCCCCAAAAATCTACATATATAATTCCCCAAATTTGGGGACAAAAATCTGCTGATTCTCCACAAATTCCGCTCATTATTGTTTTAAAGAATGAAACAAGTTTCAACAATTTAAGAATGATAGATGGCATACACACGAATAATTTAATATTAATCGGTAAGCTATGGAATCGTTGGTTGTTATGAACGAATTGGACATGATAATTTTATTCAATATGGTTAATTTTATTGATTTAATAAACTTGTTAATTAATTAATCTTCAAAATCCCCAATCAACTTGAGATTCCCCGCAGTTTGGGGAATTCCCCACAAATCGGCAACGTTGCTAAATATGGTATTATTTGGGATGATTTGTCGTAGATATCAAGACATTGTCAGAATCCAATGCTCAATCTGACTTTGTTACCCTAGAGGCGACTTAATTAATTTTTTTGAGGAAGCGAGGAAACATGTAGTAGAAGTGGATATAATTCCATCAAAAATTAATACCTAATGTAAAATATTCAGGACGACAACAAGACAATCATATACTCATAAGACACGCATTTTTGGTTAATGATAATTTGTAGTTTTCCTTAAAAAAAGTTTATTTTATTTAGTCTTCCATTTCTTTCGATACAATTACCTGTTATTAATATATTCAAGAAACGTTAGTCACACAAACAACACACGTGATGTCACCTAAGGTCTTAGGTATATAGTGGCTTAGACAGCAATGGTATTTACTTATAAACTTTAACACTGACAGACATCGATGCGTGAGCTGTTTACGCAATATCTATACGCTAATATGGTTCATTGGGAAAAAGTATATTTCAATAAAAATAATTGAAATAACGAGTGTTCCATTTTCAAATTCAGTATCAACAATAGCTTTTACTTGCCAGTTTCAAACAAATTAGTAAAGAATAACTAACTTCTTTTAGCATATACCTCTTATGCCATAATTATGTAAAATAATGAAAATGGCGACAGCAGCATCACATGTGCGAGATGTTTTGTACTTCGATCGGTAAATGTTCCTTACAATGGGAAAGTGCCGTGTCCTGTTATGGACTGATACAAATTGATGAAAGTCTAATAAAATAGTAAAAGGATATAAATTTTTCTTCAGTTAATTCATCGTGTAGCGATGGGTGGTCTAATGTGGTGGTGGAATATCCACTATCTATATCGTCCCGTATTTGTTGTGAGAGGAGACAAAGGGAAACAAACAAGATGGGCAGCAGCGTCTTCCAAATAAAATGCGATTCTCACAGCGCTCGGTTCGCAGAGCACTCCTCTCCCTTGACATCCACAAGTCGAGTGGGCCTGACGGAATCCCCCCAATTGTGCTGAGGACGTGTGCTCCGGAGTTGGCACCGGTTCTAACGCGTCTTTTCCGGTACTCCTACTCCCTAGGCGTAGTCCCGAAATCATGGAAGACAGCTTTTGTCCACCCGATCCCTAAAAAAGGCGACCGCTCAGATCCGTCCAACTACAGGCCTATCGCCATCACCCCCTTGTTCTCCAAAATAATGGAATCCGTTGTAAACTGCCACCTCATGCGGTACCTTGAGGATCACCAGCTGATTAGTGACCGCCAGTACGGTTTTCGTCGGGGTCGATCAGCTGGTGATCTTCTGGTCTACTTAACTCATAGATGGGCGTTGGCAGTGGAGTCCAAGGGGGAGGCATTGGCCGTTAGTTTGGACATTGCGAAGGCCTTCGATCGGGTTTGGCACAAAGCGCTTCTTTCGAAGCTCCCTTCCTATGGGCTTCCCGAGAAATTATGCAATTGGATCACCAGCTTTCTTGCAGATCGGAGCATCAAGGTCGTTGTAGACGGTGCATGCTCCGACTACAAGCCTATTAACGCTGGTGTTCCACAAGGCTGCGTGCTATCACCAACGCTGTTTCTTCTGCATATCAATGATATGTTGCAAGCTGGTAGCATTCATTGCTATGCAGATGACAGCACTGGTGATGCTCTATACACCGGCCGTGCCAATATTTCTCGGGAAAACGTCACCGAGTACCGGAACAAACTTGTGTCTGAAGTCGAGTCTTTGCTGGACAAAGTCTCAGATTGGGGGCGACTAAATCTAGTCCAGTTTAATCCTCAGAAGACACAAGTTTGCGCGTTTACCGCTAAAAAGAACCCCTTTGTCGTATCTCCTCAGTTTCAAGGTACTCCCCTTGTTGCCTCAGCCAGTATCGGAATCCTCGGCGTCGACATATCGAGTAGCGTGCAGTTTCGTGGTCACTTGGAAGAGAAGGCCAAATTGGCCTCTAAAAAGCTTGGCGTGCTCAGCAGAGCGGGACAGTATTTCATGCCGGCTCAACGCCTGCAACTTTACAAGGCGCAGGTTCGGCCTCACATGGAATACTGTTCCCATCTCTGGGCTGGGGCTCCCCAGTGCCAACTTCTTCCACTTGACCGCATCCAGCGCAGAGCGGCTCGAATCGTCGACGACCGAGTCCTTTCCGATCGGCTCGACTCATTGGCACTGCGAAGAGATGTTGCATCTCTTAGCATTTTCTTTCGCATTTACCATGGGGAGTGCTCTGAGGAATTGTTCGGATTAATCCCAGCCGCCAAATTTCACGAACGCACATCGCGGCAGAACTCCCGATACCATCCACACCATCTGGATGATTGGCGGTCCACCACTGTGCGATTTAGAAGATGTTTTCTTCCTCGCACAACTTCCTTGTGGAATAGTTTACCACCAGCGATTTTTCCGGACCGATACGACTTAGGGACCTTCAAGAAAAGAGCCTACTCCTTTTTAAAAGGCCGGCAACGCATCTGCAATTCCCCTGGTGTTGCGGTTGTTCATGGGCGGCGGTAGTCACTTACCATCAGGTGAGCCGCATGCTCGTTTGCCCCCTCTCCTATAAAAAAAAAAAAAAAAAAAAAAAAAACCAATGATTAAAAGAACTGCGTCTGCCCACCTGCCTGTCTGGTATGGCAATCTATGGGGGAGGCCTTTATTTAGAAGTGAATATTTTTAAGATTACCACGTCATAGTTAACACGTTACCGTTACGTGGGTATTTAATATAATTACTAAGTTTGGCAGACAGCCGCGGTTTTTCTTTTGTTTTAGATTTTTATCAGTAAGATGCTGCTGCCTATCTGTTGTTTCATTTTCCTCTCCCTCTCTCTCTCTCTCGCCTCTTTTGGCAAACTAGGAGTGATATAAGGTATAGTATGTTTCTAGAGAAGACGGAAAAACTAAGAAAAAGATCAATGTACGTACGTTGACCTTTGACGATGTCATCGGGGTAGCCAACCTTTTTCTTAGTTTTATCTTTTTATCCTTGCATCATTACATACATCATCAGAGTGAAAGATAAAGAGTGCCGAGTGCGAAGTTCTCCGCAGGTCCTGTGTCTATTATTTTATTATGAAGAAAGAAGATTATCCTGTACTTATATGAATTAAAAAGCAAATTAACATTAATTTCAATTTATTATTTATAAACCTATTTATAATACTAATTTAATTATTACGTTAACAGTAGGTAAGTAGTGTAATAAGTAGGTAGGCAGGTAGTTGTACAAAACATAACCACTTCTTGGCAGTTAGGTAAAATGGTGAACTTTTAATGCATTCTTTAGCAGTCAACCTTGTAGCATGCATAAAACTTTCCATAATAGATTGTCAGAGACACTGGACAGACTATGCTTTTGTAACTATTTCAGAATCATTTTCTGATGATAAAGACGTGGAAAAGTTTGCCACATTGATTATAAAACTATCAACAGTTTTATCAATGGCATTATGCAATTCATTTAATTTGTTTTCTTCTGTTATGACGTGGTTTATGTATTTTTTCCACTTTATATGGCTATTGTATAGCCCTTCTTCAAATATGTTTTTGACGTCTGCCATTTTAAAAGTGGTATTGTTTCGGTTTAGGTTTGTTATCTCTGAATGAACGCTTCCTTCACCCCACCCCGTACCATGAAACACGCTTAGCGTATAACTATAATGAAAAATGTATGGAAGCAATACCTGTCGTTTTGTTTCGGTGCTAACATAATACTTTAGGTCAATGTACGTTTTTCCGCCTGCCCTAGCAACATAGTGAAAACATGATAACACAAAAATAGATAAAGTATGCAAACCAACGGCAGCCTCTTCGCAACATATCTTTCTTTACTTTTTTTGCATTTTCTTTTATTTTACACCCTCAGTCCTAGCGACATATCCGAGTAAATAATATTCGGAATTTGCTGAATCAGAACTAAAATACCCAGACACATTCGTAGAATATCTGGACATTACTAGTAAGTGACAAATCATTTGGTGGTACTACTACGATCACAGCCGTGGTAGCTCAGATGGTTAGTGCTCGCTGTAAATTTCAAAGTACGCGAGCAACCCGGGTTCGATCCCCGCCGGCACCAATGAAATTGTTAATTGCAATTTTAAGTGCTGATTTACCACGTGCTTGGCGGTGAAGGAAAACGTCGTGAGGAAACCTGTATGTCTGTGAAATAAAAAATTATTTCGAAGACATGTAAAGTTCGCCTACACGCATTGGGGCAGCGCGGCGGACACTTTCTTGCCTTAAAACCCTCTCAGAAATGAGAGGCGGCCTGTGACCAGCAGTGGTACGTATTTAGGCGGTAACTTTACTACGATCACAAAATCTGCAACCACATGCAATTACAGAATCCTTCCAAATTTAAATAGGCCAATGTTCTGCAGTGGGCTGCTCATCAGCTCATAATAATGATGAAGCGAATCAACAATCTTAATTTATTAAGCTTTTATTATGTATTAAGGGACAATAGTTTTTAAATTGTTTCAGATTTGGCGAAGGAACCACGCAAAGGCTGCCCATAGAGGCCCTTGGCGACAGGGACCTAGTTGATAGACTCAGCAAGCTGCCATTAGACAAGCAACCGTTCTGGTTCATAAATTGGCAAGCAATAGAAGCTAACAGACAGAAACCTCAAACGTTTCCCTTAAGGCCGAACCCATTTGCTCAACAGCCCATTACCGGATCCGGAAACTCTGTAATAAGCAATGCTAATACGGTAGCAACGGAGAATTCTGGGACGAGTACCGACCTAGGTAACCGAAGTGGTAATGCTAATGGAGATAATAGCACAGTGAAAACAAATAGCTCTAGTATATTCACACCACAATCACCACTAACTAAACCCATCTATGAGAGTAATATAAAACACTTCTTTCATACATCATGGAATGGAACGACTGGATCAGGAAGGACTGCTATCCCACAGTATTAAAATAAATTCCAATTCGTATCAATTCACTAATATTTAAATATTATTTTTGACAAAACAATAAAAATGCATACACAAAGTAATAAAACACATTATATTGACTTTTAAATAAATAAACCCTTAATTAGTTACTAAGCGTATTCTTACAGCTAAAACCTTAAGGTATTGTATAAATAAAAAAAATAGTAAAACGCAATATTAACATCTAAACAGTATGACTCAAACGTTGTTCGTTTCTTACATCGATTTTTTTTCCCACATAACAGAAATACATTGTGTCAAACAAGTCCTTCTCAAACATATACACCAAGCAATGAAAAATGTCTCTCCAAACACGTCAAAGACATAGTACCTAGTCGAATAAGTAGTGAAATGAAATATTAACTCCACCCAAAAAAAAAACAGTAAAATATTTATACTGCAATATTAGTTTGGGTTTAGTTTCATTTAAAGTATCAGTAGTTTGTACTTTTAGTTTAGTAACTTACAAACAACAGATCGACAAACAGAAAAATATTTTTTTATCTGTATTTATAATTCCTACATACCAAATTAATAACTAACACTTTCCATTGCTTTGGTATTATAGCACACACCATATTTCTGTAACTATAGATTATATTTTATTTGGAACTGTAAAAACGTAGTTTACTTGACATAGAAAAGTTATAAAATATACAAAAATATTCGCAGCTTTTCTCAATAAATACACGCAGTAAGAGCTTATATAACACAGCCCTATATTTAAATGCTTATCTATATATTTCATACACATTTTGCTACTGAAGCTGAGTTGTAAATTTTTATATCCGATCAACAATAATTTCACATTGCTTTATATGTGTAACAAAACCATGTGGTTCTCTTTAAGTGCGTTATCAGAGTCAGTATTCAAACGTAAAGAAATAACTTATTTTTCAAAAAACTGGAACATTAGAAATTTTAAATTTAATTAAAAAATTTAATTTGCAAATTGTATGTGGTTTTATTACCTCTAACTGACACGAGCATCGTTGAAGGGGGGGGGGGGGGTCTTTCACAATCCTCTTATCCTCCGGATAATGTAGAGGTAATAAAACCACATATAATTTGCAAATTTTTTTTTATTAAAATATTTTTTTAATGTTCAAGTTTTTTGAAAAAAAAAAAAGCTATTTCTTTACGTTTGAATACTGACTCTGATAACGCACTTAACGGGAACCACAGGGTTTTTGTTACATGTTGTATAATGACATCGACAAATTCTATTTGTATTGATCATAAGTATTCACTAATAAATAAGAAACGAAGGGTAAAGTTAATCATAAAAAGCATCCAATCGAGTGGCATCAAGTCTTGGCTCATTTTTGACAGATAAACAGTGCACAGATCTAGTAAAAGATAATTTTATGGATTTCCGATATCGATCCGATAGATTATTTTATTGCAATGTTTAGTGGTCGCGTAATTCCAATATGTACTTAATATGTTGACGGATACATAGATTACACACCGGTAATTTTAATCAAACTTCTAAATTCATTTGACTGCAATTCCAAAAGTCACATTTTAAGATCTGAAATGCATAGTTGGAAAAGAAAGATAGAAAACAACGTAATAAAAACAAGTAGAATACTATTGAGTAAAATGTCTTCAGAAAATGGAATCACTTTTCAAAAGGCACTTTAAATTGGAATACACTGAGAGGTTCAGTTTAACATATAGCTAGTACAGCAATATAAACAAACAATCTCTTATTTGAAATAGTTATTTAGTATAATGTTAATGAAATACGTACACTTATAGCAACAAATCCAGGCGCATGAGCAAAAACTCATAAGTACAAAAATCACAAAAAATACTCTCAGAAAAATTATAACGAATATTGTCTAACTTAATGTCATGTTTTGTAAAACTCCATAGTAAAAAATTAACATGTTAAATTACATTACAAATATATGCATTGATCTGCGTATCCTATGTAGTATATTATATCTCAGCCATAGACAAAACACCATTAGTGACGTAAAATAAGTATAATTACATTTGGTTTTTAATATATAATATCAAAAACTGTTCCTATATCATACAGTAGTACGTACCCATCCAGAGATGCGTCTTGAAAATGCATAAAAAATCTGTGTCTGAGCATTTTGAACGTTGCTTAGTATAAATGCAAATTAAAAAACTATAAGGTCGATGGAGGCTATTGCAACTATGGGGCTAAAGCAACCAACATCGATATCTTCCATTCTCATGTTTTTTTAATACACTGCCATCTACGGGCCTGCAGAAAAGTCAAAGTATAACCTGTTATAAACAGATGGCGTCAGAGTGATGAATACTGTTTGACTTATAGAGCTGTTTTGTTAGTCGCCATTTTTACCACGTGTTTGGTGACGAGTGTGTCATCAAGTTTTAACAAAAAAAAATACTTTTCGTGCATTTTACGCAAGGTTTTATGCAGAAACGAAGAAAAAGTAAAGGTAAGTACTCTATACACTTATGTTTTTAACGTTATATCTTATATTTCGTAAGATAATTTAATAGTTACATTAGCCTCAAATTATCTCGTTGCGGGGTTATTGCGACTAGTTTTTTTTGGTTACAATGGCCCCTTCGTGTTTGTATCAAAACATAAAAACCAGTGATGTCGAATATCGATAATTGTAAATCGATATATTTACAGCATAGTTTAAAAATTCTCGAACTGAATGCGTAAATTAATATAACAATTTGTTTTATTACAATTTCAACCAAGATTTAAATCTATTTTCCTTTCAAGATGGAAATACTATGATTAACTACTGTGGTTAAATAGGGACCGAACGAATACATTTAGTTCAAAACTTCGCGCGTACTATACCTACCCATACTACATATCTTAGAAACTTTGAACTTATTTGATATCTGACTTGTTTTAGATGGTCCGAAATTATATTAAGAAAAAAGAAAAGAGCTATTCAAAAGAAAAGCTTCTAGAGGCACTGGAGTTGGTTAAAAGCAAAACGTTAAATAGTTATGAGGCAGCAAAATCGTTTAATATTCCCAGATCTACTATAATTTCACATTTATATGGCACACGCGGTCAAAAACAGGTAAACCCTGGAATGAAGACTGTATTTTCAATTGATATAGAGCAAAAAATGGCTTCCTATTTGCATACTTTAGAAAAGTATGGCTTTCCTCTAACTAAAAAAGAAGTTAAAATACTAGTATCGGATTACGTCGTAAGAAACGGATGGATAACTCCATTTAAGAATAATATTCCTGGAGATGATTGGTTTCGTCGCTTTTGCAAAAGAAATAATTTATCATTAAAAAAACCTCAATCAATCGAAATAGCTAGAAGAAAAGCCTGCAACCCGTTTACCATTTATGAATACTTTGATTTATTGGAAAATGCAATAAATGAATTGGGCCTGGCCGAGAAACCCGAGCGCATTTATAATCTAGACGAAACCAGTTTTTGTAATGATCCTACAAAGAGTAAAGTGCTTGGTCAAAGAGGGTATAGTTCTACCAGGACAACTAGTTCCCCTGGGCGTGATAACACGAGTGTCTTATTAGCAACTAATGCACGCGGCGATAAAGTCCCACCACTCATCATTTTTCAAGGAAAATACCTGTGGAACGAGTGGTGTTACAAAAATGATGCTGTGAAAACAGCATACGCCGTCACCCGAAAGGGCTGGATGGAAACATCAATATTTGAGAAATATTTTAAAAATGTATTTTTACCTGCGATCGGAAATGAGCGACCAGTTCTAATAATTTATGATGGCCACTCCACACACGTCGATTTAAAAGTGATCGAAATCGCGGTTTCGGAAAATGTAACCATTTTAAAGTTACCACCGCATTCTTCGCATATCCTTCAACCGCTAGATGTAAGTGGAATGAAGCCCATGAAAGATCGGTGGGAAGAAGCTATGGTTAGATGGCAAAGGCTTCATATCGGAGCAAAGCTACCAAAAAGTGAGTTCGCACGAATCATTACTGAAATATGGGATGCTTTGAATCCTGTTATTCTATCCAATGGATTTAAAAAAACGGGTATCTATCCCTTAAATCGGCAAGTGATCCCAAAAGAAAAGTTTGATCCCTTAACTTGGTCTAAATGGGAGCAATATGTTCAAGCATCTAAGCAGGGCAATTACGGCGAATATGATAATGAAGCTATGCAATCAATATCTGATTACAGTACACAAGAATTGGTCAACAAACCTCTTCACAATATTCCAACTCTCGCCAAATTGGCACTTAATACTTTGAATTCTCAACCGGAAAATAAAAACCTCAATTATTGTAAAGCTTCAAATCAAACAAAAAACAAGATGCAAAATAAAGAGAACGTAATAAATTACAATATTGAACAACAGGATAAATCAATACAATGTCATGACCAGAATAAGAAACCTAAAAATATTGAAATAAATCAAATACTAAGAGTAAAAAAAGAAACAAATAAAGAAACAAGAACCTATGAGCAAAGTAAGAAAATGGAGGAAGAGACAGCGTTAACACAATCCTGTAACAAAAATGAAACAACTCATGAACAAGAAAAACAAAAAGAAATCACGTTTCCAAAAACCGTAGACCCCCGAAAATTTAAACTACCGCTTCCAAGCTCTAACAGAAAAAATACTTACTCAAATAAAATTCAGATTTTTGGAAACGAGTTAATTCAGGCAGCAAATACCTTTAACAAAATTAATGAAGAGGACTTTAACGTATCTTTTGAAGAACTTCTGTTAAATTCAATTGCTCACAATGATCCTCCAAAAAATAAAAAAAAACGCGTGACGAGAGGAGCGGAGATACTAACTTATCAGGAAGTTATTGATAGAATAGAAAAGGAACAAGAAGAAAAAAGAACAAAGAAACTACAAAAAAATAAAAAAGCAAAAAAGAATAAAGAAACAAAAATTAAAAAGCTAAATAAAAAGAGAAAAAGAGGCATTAAGAGAAATACTAAAATAAAAAAGAATCATTATGAAACTGACAGCAACAGCAGTTGTTCCTATCAATCAGATGATATATCAGATGAAGACGATAAGACTTTTTGGGAAAGCTTACTAACTGCAGAACTTAGCGATGAATTAGACATCACTGATGAAACCAATGAGCAATTTTCTGAAATCGCGTCTACTTCGACAGAAATGGCATCTGTTTCAAAGGAAATAGTAACCACGTTTAAGGCTATGCCATCATATTTGGAAGAACCTCAGGTCCCAAAATTCCCAGAAGAAGGCACTTTTGTTTTAGCGAAATTTAGTTCTGCGCGGGGCAAAAAGACTTACAAATATGTATGCCGTGTACAAGACATCTCAGATGACAAAATTGTAGTTACAGGGCTGAAATCATACAAACAAAAAAACACGTTTCGTATAATCAAAAACGACATCTCAATTATTGATTTGAAAGATATTGTTACTTATCTTCCACAACCAGAGCGCTTAGATGGAGAACTATTTAAGTTTCTCAATAATATTGATGTGTATGAAGTGTAATTTTTGTTGTGTATCTATCTGTATTTAGAATTAAGCAAAAAGTCATTTTTTAGAATCTCATAAAAAATGTGATAAATATGTGATATTAATTTAGTATCTATAAGTAAAGTGAAGTTAATTTTAATAATATTATTGTAGAATTTAAACATTACAATTGTGATAAAATACTAAGTGAAGTTAAACCAAAGTATAGGTTCCTATTATTTTTGTATTTGTCTTTAAAATTAATTACTCTAATTATTTTAGGATCTCTCAACTATAGTTCAAAGTAAAAACAAACGTAATATAGCAATTTAGAAGAAAATGTTGCCTTATAGATTTTAAATAATTTGAGATAATTTTTTGTTATGTTCTTATAAATTTTCGTATTATGTTTTGAGAAGTATCTGAAACTTCTATTTTTATATGTGATGATTAGGGAATAAAAAATAAAAACGAAGCATGGTTTTATATTACTTAGGTACCTATTAGTATCGATTGCCTACACCTTTAACAATTTATCGATATTTTTTACGTCAACACAACACTATTTCTATAGAAAATAGTCACATTAGCCCCAAACATTACTAATCATACTTTTAGTTTGATCGGGACTCCACTGGTACAACTCAGAGAATATGCCTGCGTAAATTTCACACTGGGTGACATGTGCTTCGATTGTGAGCAAATATGCTACATAAACCAATGAGTTAGTTTAGATAGTCGCATTTACCCCAACATGGGACTAATGTAACTTTTCCTGTCTGCATGGAACTTTTAATAAGATTTTAACAAAATCCTACAGCTTTTTGACATTATATTAGGTCGAAAATAATCTCAGATACATGCTTAATTATATAGATATGATAGATTACCCCATAAAGTCAAGTAGTCATTTTTGGTGAAGGTTCAAGTTTCAAAATATATTTTTTTAGTTGCAATAGCCTCCATCGACCTTACAAATAACTATCAACACAACTCACGTTACAAATTTGGCCAAATAATACTAAATAATAAGTAGTGTACTAATATCGTTATGTGAGTTTGGAATTTTCGTGGCAAATTTTAATGATGTTAAAAACTTAAAAAAATACTTTTTATAGTAGGAAAAAAAAATAAAAAACATCACACTCGCAATAAATAAAACATTAAAATTGTATTTTAACGTAACAGCAAAATAATAATACAAGAAAAAATTTTTGCGACATATTAAAAAACGTGGTTTTTAGTATGTTGCATTATTAAAAAAAAAACAATGCTCCTTTATTATTTGAAAGAGAAATTGACTTTTTGCCTTGAAAATCCCTACCCATGTAGATTATATTAAAAACACTCGATCAGAGTTCAAGAGTTTGAGTCTCTGTACATTTAAATAAGCTCTTCGTGTAAAAACAAACCGTAAATAAACCTCAGACCACCAAAAAAGGTAGACGAAGTGCTACCTACGTACATTTCTAGTGATGCCGAAATCATGCTCAACTACTTGACACGCATGCATACAAGCACACTTCTTACTTTCTTTATCATTCCGAAAAATTTAACTGCTGGATGCACACATATGCACGTAAACCATGTTTTTGGTTGCAAACGATTAAGCATGCATAACGTGTACGTGAGTGTTCTTACAATAAGTTCGGCATAGTTCTTGCGTCACTTGAAATGTACGTAGGGCTCCATCTTTCTTTGTTTGTTGGTTTGAGAAATAAACAAGGTAAAGTCATTGGCTTTGAAAAGTTTTTTCTTTATTACCGTGCAATTATGAGCAGCTGCATCGACGCAGCCAAAATGACGGACCACGTCATTGAAATCTTCGTTGCTGAATTTGCTTTCGTTACAGAAGGTAACCTAACGCTCTTGTAATGGCAGGACTTTTCGGCTGTATCGTTATTCGTTAGCTCCGTGAAGTTCGGATAGTTCTGGATCTGGACAGGCTGTTAATAAAAAAAAAAGTTAATATTGGAACTTGCAGTTGAAATAATATTACTAATTTTTAGGAATTTTTACATTTCGTAAGGCACAAATAAATAATTTACTTTATTTGAATGCTTCATTACACTTTAACAAAATAATTGCATATTCAAGAACTTTCAAAAATAAATTCAATTGAAACAAAGTACCGACTATGTACCAGCGCATTATAGAAACTGTAAAAAGTAAAGTTGTAATATTTGTCATGTTACCTACTTAAAGATATTTGTCATCAAACTTTGATTGAACTCTGACATTTGAAAGCGTAGGGTCAGAAAAAAAGGAAGAGTAAAAATAATTATGTTCTTTAATAATCATGTTGATATAGTGTTGTTTAAAATGATTATACCTAAACACTATGCTACCTTGTTTACATTAAAAATGATGTTAACTGTTGTTGCCTGACTAAAGGACGCCATAACTGACTAAAGGAAGTACATAACTTATAAAATATAATAAATCAAGGTTAAAATTACTTTTTAAAAAATATTACATTAAATAATCTTGTACAAATACATCATTTTTAAAATTTAGTTAGGGTCTTAGAAATAGTAGTCTACCTATAAGTGGATGCTGTGGCCCGTAGACACCTACGTCTATCCTCGACCAAAAGTCAAAATGCAGGTGCGTCATCACCCACTAGGATAAAAAGGGAATGCCTGTATTCAGTAAAAACGTTTCTGGTACACTTCATTCACCATAAAACAAGACAGAGACAACGCTAACCAGTGAGCAAAGCCGTCGCAAGTCATTATATGGGTTTAAAACAGTTGAGCTAAGCGTAGTTCACAATACCAAATATAGCATTTCATACTAATTTCTTATATTTTTCTAAACTGAACTTTCCTTAAACTGAAATAGCATTTCAGTTTAAGGTCAGAAACTAAACTGCTCGGATCTTGCCAAGTTTTGTAAACACTTCGTTGTAGGCCCCCAGAACACAATTATAGGTATTATGTTGTTATTTCACGCTGGGATTCTGTGAGAGCGTGGTCATTACCAGTCGAGCCCAATATATCTGCAGTGTGCTCTAGCGCGTCAATTGTTATAGGAACTTAAATCAATTCCTAAAACAAGTGAAAAATAAAAACATACTAAAAACCACGTTTGTCATATTCCTATATTGATTGTCATCCGATTCTGGGGTATGTTCAAAATTTCAAGTCTCTAACTAATCGGGAAGTGCTCGATATTTGAATTGCAACGACATATGCACACATGACATATGCACCCGGAACGACATACAAACAAGAAAGTGACTTAATAAAAACGTGATAATAACTAACCGCTCCCCAAGAATCGTCGCTCTTCTTACAAAAAGTCATATGCATCCCTCTGTAAAGAGTTTTCTCAATTTGTTCGGTCAACAGCGGCTCCGACCATGGCATCTCGTTTAAATGCGCCAAGAAAGTCTTATTGCGGAACTCTGGTGGTTCCTTTATCACCAGCTCCTCTGAAAAATGTAACAATTTGAATAAAGAAAATTGATTCCAGACAAGAATTAGTTGTAAAAATAAATCAGTCGGCATTATATATATATATACCAAAGTGACTAACGAACGAACAGTCCACCGTATGGTAAGTAGCAACTAAGTCCATGGATAGAAGCCAACTTCTAAAAAAGAAAGGTACACCTAAGCTGAAGAAAAATCTTATCACTTAGTAAAACTCTCTTTAAGCTTTTTTTATAGGGTAAGGGTGACAAACGAACACACAGTCCACTTGATGGTAAGTGGTTGCTGTAGCCCATAGACATATACATCTATCTTCGATTACGAATCAAAATGCAGATGCGTTGTCACCCGTGAGGACTAAGATGGAATGCCTCGATTCCAGTAAAAAACGGGTCTCCGGTTCTCTACACTCACCATACGAAACACAGCAGCGTTAAGCTGCTATTTTACGCTGGTATTATGTGAGAGCGTGATCCTTCCCCGGTTGAGCCGACCCATTCGTGCTACAACTATACCAGTAATATAGCTGCAGCGTGTCTCTACCACGTACAAACTGTGATTATTATTCAAATTCATTTATTTATTTGTGAATACAGTGAGTTAGGTGTAAGTAAAATATTTTTATAGGATAGGGGTTACAGTAGGTATTTGGTCTTGCCAATAGAACTAGAATCGATCAGTTGCACATATAAAAATAACATAAACGATTATCCATATAACTTTTAATGACCTAGGTTCGAACATCAGCCAAGGCTAACCATTTATTTTATCAATAACAATCCTAATTTTGACTAAGATACCACCTGATGTTAAGTGGTGAGAAATAGGTCCCTCAACGGTCCTCTACATTTCAGCCATACTTTCGGCCTATTCATTCTAGAATTTAAAAGTGCTAAATTATATTGGCCAGTGAAGGCTTACCAAAAACGATAAAGAATTATTAATTTGCGTAAAAAATGTTTGGTTAAATTGTGTTGTGTGTGTCTCTGAATCCTAGAATATGTCCCATCGTAAGAAAATTATAGAAGGCATGTGTAGTGGGACGAATAAGTTATGTTCCAGCCTATATACATATGCTAGGCACTCGCTGTAAGTTTTACAGTCAGCGAGCAACCCGGGTTCGATCCCTACTGGCGCCAATCAAATTGTTCACGTGCTTGCCGGGAAAAGGAAACCTGCATGTGTAAGGAATTAAAAAAAATCGAAGACATGTAAAGTACGCCAACACGCGTTGCGGCAACACGGCGGACATTTCCTTGCCCTAAAACTCTCTCAGAAATGAGCCTGTGCCCAGCAGTGGGCCGTATATTGTCTGTAACTTTAGTGCACAAAGTTCCAAAGTTCTCTCTGCTCCGACGAAGCTTCTCGAGAAGCAACTACCCAAATTTTTACAATTATTTATAATTAATGTGCTCCGAGTTACCACGGGTCTCAGTATGTCCCAGTGCGACGATAACTTACTTAATTTACTACTGAAATACTCACTCATAAATCCAACACCCTGGTCGTCTCCTTGCATGCCTGTTTCTTCTGATTCCTTTCGTTGATTATCTGTGGGTAGGTTCGGATACTCGACGTACCTGTGGAAAAAATGAATCC